CCAAGGTGTTATTATCTTAATCTTGGAAGAATAATTTTGGTATCATGGCATTTTGTGGCATATATAATTTCAAATACTTTGAAATCAGGGATTCGAGATCATTCAACAGAGGATAACTTCTTAAATTATAGTTCAGGAAGGAAATCTACTCAGTTTTTCTGAGATCTCATTATTTTGTCTGACAAATAAATTTTTTTTAAGTATCACTATTCTGGTCATTCATAAAATAAACTCTGCTGAAACCATAATTGCACGTTCTATGCCTTGGCAGCCAGGAGGAAGGGTGGCTGTCCCTGGCTTGCTCAGTCTTCCCGGCTTTCCTAGAAATCAGCAAGGGGGTGGATGGGAGTCACTAAGCACAGTTCTCAGCTCTGCTGACCAAGATTTAAAGGGGTAGCAGCTGGTAATGACAGTGCTCTGGAGGTGGGAGCCAGGTGAGAGGGAGGAGCAAGGACACACAGTGAGAGAATGGATGGCAATGATGGAGAGGAAGGGGCCTCTGGGGACAGTCTAGTGTTGACTTACTTCATAAAGAGTGTTTCTGAAGGTGAAAATACCTGCTTTTTCATATGGAAAGATTTTTTTTGTTTTGTTTTTTACATTTTGTGTTTGACTCCCATGTAATTATTATCTGAGTGCAAGGACAGAGGGGGCATCCCAGTGCAAGGACAGAGGGGGGCATCCCAGGGCAAGGACAGAGGGGGCATCCCAGTGCAAGGACAGAGGGGGCATCCCAGTGCAAGGACAGAGGGGGCATCCCAGTGCAAGGACAGAGAGGGGCATCCCAGTGCAAGGGCAGAGGGGGGCATCCCAGTGCAAGGACAGAGGGGGCATCCCAGTGCAAGGACAGAGACGGGCATCCCAGTGCAAGGACAGAGACGGGCATCTGAGTCCAAAGGCAGTGCTTACTTCCAAAAACAAAATTCAAATAATCACAAAGTTACCAAGTACAGTGCCTTGATGAGCTGGGTTATTGAATGTAAAGGGTATCTGATGCCCTCAGAGGTGGGAGAGATCCTCTTAACCTGCATCCTTCAGGCATCCTCTGAAGCCTGTCCTGGAAACTAAAATTCCTCTTCCCCAGGAGAGTCACAGCACCCAGGAAAGCCACTCTTCTTTTTGTCCCTTGGAATATTGCTCCAGAAGGTCCTTTCCCATCCTTGAGAGAGTTATGTATTCCATAGAGAAACCCAAACCAGTCCCTTAATCTGCTACCTTTAGGCCACACCTTTTTATCCAGTCCCATTTCAACATGGCTGTCCATTGTCAACAAACTAAGCGTAAAAAATGGACACTACTCCCTGGGTCTTTGAATCTTCATTCCGAAGACTTCTGTGTTATCCACGACTGTCATTAAACTGTTCTTAATGTTTTTTTTTCTTGCTAAATTGTCTTTTATTATGGGTGCTGTTGTGATTCTCTAGGTGAGAAGGTGACCCTCTGCCATGCAGCCCCATAGGGCTACCCTACCACTCCTGGATTAGTTATTTGATGTGGAATTCCCCTCTGTATGCTGTGAATATCATTGGTTAATAAAGGAACTGCTTTGGGCCTATAGCAGAGATATAGGGGAACAGAGCTAGGTGGGGAACTAAACAGAATGCTGGGAGAAAGGAGGTGGAGTCAGAGAGAAGCCATGGAGCCACCAGAGACAGACGTGCTGAAACTTTGCTGGTAGGCCGCAACCTCATGGTGATGCATAGATTAATGGAGATGGGTTAAATTGAGATGTAAGAGTTAGCCATTAAGAAGCTAGAGCTAATGGGTCAAGCAGTGATTTAAATAATAGTTTCTGTATGGTTATTTTTGTTCTGGGCAGCTGGCACGAACAAGCGGCCTCTTCCTACAGTTATTTGTGTAAACCTTCATGCTAGTCCTGCAGAAAGCTGGGCTGTGAATGAGGTGATGATCAAAGGAAAAACCACCCAATGTGTCTCGAAATGAGGCCAATCGCTGTGGGACAGGTAGCAGCCCTGAGACCAGCAAAATGTCTGCAGTTCCTCCACACACACACACCCCTCCCCCCGCCACTCTCTCTCCTTTATTTTGAAACAGGATCTAAGTGTGTAGCACGGGGTGACCTCCACTTCACTAGGTACTCCCAAATGACCTTGAACTTTTTTGTTTTGTTTTGTTTTTCGATACAGGGTTTCTCTGTAGCTTTGGTGCCTGTCCTGAAACTAGCTCTTGTAGACCTGGTGCAGCTTCCCCAGTGCTGGGATTACAGAAGCCCATTATGCCCAGCCTTGCTTGACTGGTTTTCTACCTTGCTTCAGGACCTGTTGATTTGTGGCCTTGAGGGCATGTGCACACAGAAGACAGCCCTTTGCTTTTTACTACTCTATGTGGAAGAAACATCACCAAAGGGTACTAGTAAGGCTCAACCATGTATATGGATAAGTCCCTCTATAAGGTACAGCTAACAAAACGCTGCCGCCCATGACTGTTTTTGTAGGAATATAGACGAGGCCTTTGGGGGTGGGATTTGAGCCAAAGATCATGCTATTGCCTGGGTTTAAGCTGTTCTAATTTACTCCACTATTAGAGAAAACCCCACACTTACGTCATCACAGTGCGGCATTCCTACCTTAAAAGCCTTTTCAGAACCTCGAGTGAAGACCTAAGGTACAAAGTGCTGTGCGGGGGAACCAAGCTTTTCCTCCTGTAAAAGAAGAGCTGCAGATAAGGTTAGGAAAAGGGGTGATGGTGCCAAGAAGCCAGTCTTCAAGAGACTGTGGGGAGAGAAAAATATGCCGGACGTGGTGAGATGGTTTCATCTCTAAATGCCCTTAGTGAAACTGCCTGGCTTTTATGAGGGGGAAGGGTGTTGTGAGGTGGCCCCAGGAAGATGAGTAGTCTTGTTCATAACGCTGTGAGCAGTGAGACATTGCTTCCTGGAAAACACGCTGCTCTACTACACTGAGAAAACCATCACCACGCTGCGGCTTTCCTCAGGCTGCTGAGAGATGGGTGCGCTGTGTTACTATGTGCGCCAGGGAGATCGGGTCATCTTGGCTTGGTTTTGTTGCCGTCTTCTTGGGAGAGGAGGCACCGGGCTTGAGTTTCCCTTGGCTTGGACTTCCTCTTGAGTTCAATGGAATGGCATTACCTATGTCTTAGCGTATTGAAGCTTATAGTTTACTAAGCCTCAGAATTCTCAGGGAAATGGGATTTCAGTGCAGTGGTTGTGTTTAAGCCAGGCTAGTTTGCTGCCTCCCTGTCCCCCTCTATTTCTCTCTTCCCAAGGCTGGGGATCAAAGCCAGATCTCCAGTGTGCTCGGTCAGCAGTGGACCATGAGCTCCATCCCCAGTCCTACTATTTTCTCTTAAGTCACATAAAACCCTTTAAAGCATCCCTCATTATTCAAGTATGCTTTCAAAAATCACCCTTTATTATCAGGCAAAAAAAAAATAGCCTTTTACTCAGTATTTATACAAAAACAAAGTTAGAAAACTGTGCTGAGTGATACTGAGTGACTGGGAAACTCACATTCTAACTGTTCAGATTAATAGTCCAAAGGAAAAATCCAAGCCACTGCCAAGGAAGCGATATGTAAAACAGCAGCTTCCGTTTCCCATAGGCGAGACTCGGCCAACCCCAAAGTGGGCAAAGCATTAGAAACCCTGGAATGCCACACTGGGAAGGACAGAGAAATAACACAGTGCTTTTAGAATTCACCAGTATGCATCCACTTCTGTCCTGGCTGGGTTGTTCTTCTAATTGATTTCCAAAAATGATAAGAATAATATCTAAAAAAAAAAATGCTTCGCTTCTGCATTAGTTTCTTTTCATATGTTGATAAAATACACCCCAAAAAGCAACTTGAGGGAAAGGGTTTATTTAGGCTCACACCCTACGGGTATAGTCCCTCGCAGAGAGGACATCTCGGTGACGGAATATGGGGTAGCTGATCACAGTGCTTGCACAGTTGAGAAATAGAGAGCGACAGGCCAGCTGCTTTCTCCTTTTTAGGCAGCTCTGGAATCAAGCTCATGGTGTGGTCTTTCTTGGTTTTAGGGTGTCTCAATCGCCCCAGGGAGTCCCTCCCTCACAGCTGTGGCCAGAGGCCAACTATAATGTACTCTCTCACAGGAGAACCCAGAGGCTTGACTCCTAGGGGCCTCTAGGTCCTGTCAAGAGAACAACAGTAAGCCTCACGGATCCCACACTTGTTTTTGTTTTACTGTGCTGTACTTTGGATTATGAGAAAGGGTCTTGCTATGTAGGCTAGGCTGGACTTGAACTTGTTACCCTCTTGCTTCAGCCTCCAGTGTCCTGGTATCATAGGCACAGGCTGTCACTCCTGGCTGGATCTCAACTACCTAAAGTGTGAAACTGACTGTATTCTCAAGTGAGTCTGGAAAGAAGTTTTTGGATGTTACATTGATAGCCTTTTCTTGGCGAAAGTCCAATCAGTATATGTATGCATGGTGAATTAAGCATATCTGTATGCTTCCTCAGAAAACCCAGTATTGGCAAAGAACATGGCCAGGCTGGTGTAACCTAATCGGGTCCCTTATCTCCCAACACTGCCCAGAAGTCTTCTGAACATCCTGGCCTGTCAGCAGCAAGTACCCTGTCAGATTGACTTATCCAGACTTTTGAATGTCCCAAAGTGTCCTTAGTTATCCCCACCCTCCCTGTCCCATGTGTCCCTTCACTGTGAGTCCTCTCTACCACGCCTCACTTGGAGGTCAATGCCATCTCTTTCCCCAGTGCAAGGCTCCAGTGCTGAGCCTCTCACACCGTGGCCTGATACTGAACCAAGCCTCTGCCATGCTTTAGTAAATGTCATACAGTGACAAAATAATAATAAAAAAAACAATTAAAATGTTGCCACGCAGTATGACATCCTTACAATGTGTCTGAAAGCTGTTATGGAAAATTTGTGAAATTTGTAAACCAGGCAGTAGGCAGGAAAAAAATCTCCTTTGCAATGAAAGATAACTCCAAAATGATCTTTATATGGAAAGAAATGAAACAACTCCTGTCTCAATTTTCAAGTTACATTTATTACTAATATCGCTTGGATTTTCAGTGCGAGTCTTTCACCACACAGCCTCTGGGGACAGAGAGAAACAGAAATGACGATCTAAATTAGACAGAGAACAGACTTCTCTTTGATAGGAAGGTGTGAACCGTGTAGCAGTTACTTCTGCTTCGAACAGAAACCAAATGCGAAGATCTACCTTTCCTTAAGAAACATTCTTGCAATTCCTCTCTATTACGGCTGTCCCTAATCGATGTATTTATTAATCCAAAGTTTAAGTCACTAATACACATACATATCTATGATTAAAGCCCTAATAAGTATATGCTCTCCAAGGTGTATGATGCTGCCAAACATGAGACATCCTCAAAAGATAAAAGAACTTGGATCTGTACCATCACCACACTCCAAGTTCAAGTTCAAATTATCTACCAACTAATGCTCCGCACCCATGCATTGGTATGATGTTCGGACTCGATGGGAGGAAATGCCGTATGAAAGTCCCTATGATTGGCATGCTCAGCCTTTCAGGCAGGTTTAGTAAAACACGACGCAGCTGCCGGTGATTGAAACGTGTCTTGCAACAAAGGTGGCACCCCATTCAAAGCCGCAGCTCCTCTGTACAAGCGCTATTATGGGGAAACTGAGACCCCCCTCATTTCATTCTGGTGAGAATAGTAGCTATTGACATCTTACTAACCATAAGAGTGTGACTGAATGCCAGTGATGGAACTGGATTACTATCTAGTCAACTAAAGGAGAACCCCACAGTGCACCTGGTGCGAATTTGCAGCGGCATTCTTGTTTCGCGGAGGTGTCTGCACACTGACTGATAAAGATGCTTGGGTCCTCACGAACAAATGTGCAGCCTTCCTGAGTTGTGCAGACTAAGTTCAGACAGCTCAGTATCAATGCTAGTTTGGGTGTGGCACACGCAGAGGTCAAGTGCATTTTATAACAGTACCTAAAGCATCTGCTTCCTTTGAATCCAGTGAGTTCTGGCAAATAGTGAGAAATGAAACCCCCGGTGGAAAGAAAGTCCAGCACTTACGAATGAGAGTGGCAGGGTAGAATGTGGACCCGATAATAACATCTGTTCTGTTGAGTCCCCCATTTCTTAAACCAGCCTAACCCAGAATGACTCAAACGCTGTGATCAGTTTGAACCCGGTAAGGATCATACGTGCAGGATTCTTAAGAAGCTACTAGCCTGACATTATTCTTTTAAGATTCTACCCAAAAAAAAAAACCTCATAGGTGCCAATAATTACGTTTTATACTTTAAGGGAATTAACATTGTATCAATTTTATATAAATAAACAATGAAACTTTTGCCATTGAGTTTTGATTTTGCTTTTGTTGTTGTTTTGAGACACGGTCTCCCTGATAGCCCAGCCTGGCTGGGAATTTTCGGCAGTCCCTCCTCTTCATCTCTGGAGTTTCCGGGGTTGCGGGCGCGAGGTGCCACAGCTGGCTAGCAATCACATTTTGGAAAGTAGCCTTCTATTTTCTTATCGCCTAATTGAACGAATTAGTGCCTGGCCACTCCTGCCACCTGTGGAACTTCCTGTGAGTCCTTCAAAATTTTAAAACCTTCTAAGGGGAGGGACCGATCGCATCCTCATTTTCATCCGTGAAAGATCCCATCCTAATGATAAGGTGGAGAGCTAAAGAGGAGAATCAGGCACTATTATCCCTTTCTTAAGAGACAGGAAGATAGTAAACACTCCAGAATTTTTAAGTTAAGAAGTATCCTGGGTAGACTCGATGGTCTGAAGCACTCTGAACCCCCTTATATTTAACCCTTTGTGGGCAGGGCAGTGAGCAGCAGGTGTTCATGCTGACAAGGCCTGGGTGAGTCAGCAGGTCTAACTTCCCTGGAACAACCTGGAAGCAGCCCTGTGTAGGCTTCCCCAGTGTGTTTTCTGTGACCAAGTAGGTGGTCATGAACAACAGTTGCATAATGGCAGGCACATTCATCTACCACTTCCTGAAATCCACTCATATTTTTATCTTTACATCAACCCTCACTCCACATAACACAAAACCCGCCACTTAGAAATTCCTTTTGGGACCTTCGGTGACGCATGTCATGGCGCTAAATAACCTCATCCACTCCTAAAGGTGATCTGATATTTATGTAATGAGCAAGAATAAACGATACATCAGAGGTCATTCTACTGAGAGATTTTCACCATACCAGAATTGTTAAGAACCTAAGCAATTAGACAATCCAGCCTTCTCATTTGACGAGTGAGGATAAGTGAACTGAAACCTTCCTGTCTCAGGCTGGCTTTTAAATGAGGAATAAACCCAATGTTTAGATTTGTGCTTCCCACATATTATTACTCTGTGTCCTCTCAAGTCCACTTGAGTTGTGTAGTTCCCTGACCCTGACACATCCCCGTCTCAGAACATTCTTCTGTCGGCCAGGCATAATGCTGCCCACCCGACATCCCAGCACTTGGTAGGCTGAGACAAGCTATGGGTTTGAGGATAACCTGGGCTACAAAAGCAGCACCAAGCCAACCAGAGCTACATAGCAAAGCACTGTCACGGTTTCGGTCTTCTAAAACACCTGAACTGCACCTACAAAAGGTTTTTGAGAAATATTTGGGATGACACCAAGGAGATTCTTTCCTGCATAATTATCATACTTCCTGTCAGGCACGCCTTAGGAATTTATCCTAATAGGAAAGGTGGGAGCTGCCCAAAGGAAAGGCTTGTGTCATGGGGAAGGGCAGGCAATGGGGTGACAGATGGATTAGAACAACGTATAATGGTACATGCATATTAACACGACAAAATGAAACCGCTTTCTTTGGATGCTAACTTAAAATTAATAAAAAGAAAATTTTATATTCATTGCTACTGGCAATTGATACACCATATTCTAATAACCCCCTGTTGGGCTGAGGCATAGAGAAGAAGATGTTGGATTCACTGTAATTAAGTGAACTTGGGACTCCTTGCAAAAGGAGTTAAGATTTTGAAGTATATGTAAGTGCTAGAACATTAATGTGAGAAAGTTGGGGGGGGGGGGGAGGGTTGCTTTTTTTTTTGTTTTGTTTTGTTTTGTTTTTTTGAGGCAGGTACCCTCGGCTGATTTCAATCTACAGGCCTGAGGATTATCTTGAATTCCTGGTGTTCTGCCCTGCCTCGTTATGGGTGTGCCCCACCACACCCTGCTCACAGGACTCCCTGCTTCCAAGCAGTTCCTCGGGTGCTCCACACTTGTGTGCTTACACACGTTCGCACTCAGATAAATGACCCGTGAGAGCCACAAGGGGCTAAAAGTGGCTTTAAGTCTACTTAAGAAGTGAAGAACCCGCCAAAGGATCACGGACATAAGCTATGAAACCCACAGAGTTGTCACGCTGGCTCTCATGGTTGGTGTCTCCACCCCCGTGGGTGTGGGTTGTAATTGTAGCCACCTAATGGAAGACCGTATTCAGACCTGGTCTCCATGGGCATTATTTTCGGGTCGTATCTGAACTCCTGCCTAGGACTCACATATGGCAACTGAGAACTGTATACGGAGTGGGTGGACATGAGGCTGCTGACTGGGGATGGAGCATTATACTCTTGCCTTTCAGGGAAACTCATGTTGGTCTTCTGAGTTTGGGAGACAAAGGACAGTCTCTCTTTCCAGTCCTCTTGGGACCCTGAGCACGCCTTCCTCCGAGCTGCGGAGACTACATTCGCCACAATGGATTCCTGGATGCTTCTGGGTCCGAAGGCGTCATCCACTAGACCAAGGGGAGACCTAGCCGCTGCTTCCCAAGGTGTTGGTCTCTTGTTAGCTTTCTCCAGCCCGAGGGTCGGCCTGCTGGGGTAACCGTGAGCCTGCTGGTACAGCCACGGAGATGCAGATATGTTGGGCGGGGCTGGTTTTCCAGGAAGAGAAAGGGAGCGTCCACTCGCCTAAAAACAAAGAAAACATTACTGTATCTCATTTGCTTCTGTCTGCACTTGTTATTGCAAGCCACAGTCAGCACCATCACCAAGCTCTGCCCAGACTGAAGTCCTGCAGTCCTGAGGTCTGGAAGGGTTGCCGTATCTAGTTTAATCCAGCTCTGGTCTGCCGCTGGAGTCCCCACGCCCTTCATCTGGCCCTCCTTCTTGGTCTGCCCTCTTTGCTCTCATTGTTCAAACTGCTGCCACGTCTTTTCCCAGGAGTAAGCAAGCTCACAGGGCAGAAACCCTAACACCCCTGGGACCTACCCTTCTCTCCGCCTTCCACACCCTCACAGCCCACCTGCTTCATTCCAGTTCTGTGTTTCCTGGCACAAAATCAACAAAACAGGAATAACTCCAGAAATGGGCCATCAATTCCTATAATTTTTACTTTTTCCATGTAGCTTGTTGTTCCATTGGAACCTCCAGCTCGCCCTTGCACAGTCTGGAAAGCCCCATTCCTCTCTCTCTCTGTCCCCAAACCCTGCCCACTGAGAGAGTCTCCCAACAAAAAGAAGATGCCAAAAAGCCCAGTTCCGCATTTATTGTGGCTACTGCATCTTCCTCCCCTGAAGACGCCAATCGCCCAAGTCTGCCTAAAGCAGTCAGCTTTGGACCATACTTGGGCACAAACCCAGCTTGTGGTAGATCCCTCATTTCCCCCTTGCCTACAACTTATAGGGTCTCTTCGCTTTTGTTTGTGGATGTAGCTTCTCAGGCCTTGATCTCTGGGACTGGAGAAGTCTCCCAGGAGTTGCTTTGTTCAAATAAACCTGTTATACTCTTTCAGTTTGGCTTAATCTGGTTTACTGTGTTGGCAGAGAAGCCTATTATGGGGGTAGGGGGCAGAAAACCTATTTTAATTGCTTGACTCATTTCAGTTCAGTAAATTCACTGAAAGATACTTAGAAGTGGCTACTGGTGTGAAGGAATGAGACACCGCTCCTCTCAGAACCTATTTATGTGATGAGGACCATACGACATAGGTCTTTGTTCTGTCTGTCTCTCTCTCTCTGTCTCTCTGTCTCTCTCTCCCTCATGCTATAGGTACATGGTCTTACTCTGTAGTCCAGGCAAATTTCTGGGAAATCTTCTTGCCTCAGCCTTGCAAGGCTAGGATGGTAGCCCTGAGCCACCCAGTTTTTGTTCCTTGGGTTCTCGAGGGTGAGGCATGGCCCCTGTCTCTAAGGGAGGGCTGCTCGGCTCATGTGCATTTTGGCTCTATTTTTATTTTTATTACATTCCAGAGCCTCTCAGAGTTGGACTCCACAACATTCCCCTGTGCTTGCTAAATGCTCTGCTTGCCAAGACTATAGAAATACAGGGCAGACTCAGTATATACACACGCGCACACACACACACACACACAACACACAGGCGCGCACGCGCGCGCACACACACACAGATACACACACACTCACACAGACATGTACATCATACAGACTCTGAAGTGATGAGCTAGCTAAAACACCAACTAAAAGAAATTCATTTCCTCCCTTTCCTCCCAACTCACTTAGTTTGAGAATCTTAAGAGGAATCAAAATTTAACCGAAGTGGAAAGATCAAAGTATTTTCAGAGATAACCTAGTATGAAAGATGAGGCTTTTCTCAGTGAAAGCAAATACTAATTGTTATGGTTTTGGTCCCTTTAAGAGACAAGCCACACCCATTCCCCTCCCCATCCGTGGAGGCTTCCGGCCTGTGCTCGTTCCCTTTTCCATCTTCCTCTCGGAGAGGCAGCTTTGCTTCTGCCTCTCACCCCACTTCTCTGCTTCCCCCCTTCTCTGTCTCTTTCTCCTCTTCTCTCTCTCTCTCTCTCTCTCTCTCTCTCTCTCTCTCTCTGTCTCCCTCCCTCTCTCTCTGTCCCCCCTTCACCCTTCCTCCTCCATAACCCCCTGAATAAACATTCAGCCTCAGGCTGCATGTCGTGTCTATCCATGTTTCTGTCTTCTGCCCGCCTGCCATATGTCTCCCTGCCTGAGACCAGCCATTGCTCTGAGACCAGCAGCCCTCTCTGCCTGGGACCCGCTGTCTGCCGCCACATGGCCCGCCACCACAGCTCAGGCTGCCACTCTGGGACCAGCAGTCATTTCTGCCTGGGACTGGCTGCTCCCAGGGCCCGCTGCCTGCCACCACATGGCCCGCCGCCACCATTTGGGACCTACAGCCTTTCTGCTGCTTACTGCCGCGGGAATCTTGCAGCATTTTTAAAAAAGAACAACACTAATTATTAGTCAAATATGTACAGAGGAAAGCAAAACTTGGTGGTGTGCTGATGACAGAGAAAGTCAGGGCTTTCTGGGGGGGGGGACATTAAGAATCACAGCGAAGAGCCAATTCAACGCCACGTGGGATGCACACGGCAATTGTGAGGAGGGGAGACTCATTGTCTCAATGAACAGACTGAGCACGGTCTGTGTGTGTGTGCCACATACGCCTCACCATCCTTTAACTGCTAATCATAGGGGACAAACTTTTGGATTATTTTAGGTGGGAGATTCAGTTACAGTATAAACCACTCATCTTTAGGTACGGGGTTTTGGGTGTGTGCCTCAAATACTAAGTGCTTCCAGTCTCCTTTTCCCCTGAATCCCTTACATGAGATCGTCACGTCTTGTTCGTTGGTGTTACACCCTTCTGTCCATCTCTGACCCGGCTCCTGATGCTCTCCCCTCAGCTGGTGACTGGAGCCATGTGACACACCTTGACCCAGAAATGACTAATAGACCTGAGGATATCAAAATGTTTCTTCTGTTTTGAAGTTTGCATCTGGAGTGGTAGCAATCCAGCATGACACCCCCTCCCCCACACACACCCGGGACTCTGCCTCCATCGTGTGCTTTATTATTGTCAGAGAAATAAAAGGTCATTTATTTTATTATCGCGCGCGCGCGTGTGTGTGTGTGTGTGTGTGTGTGTGTGTGTGTGTGTGTGTGTGTGTCAGGGTAGAATACGCCACTTCCTGAGTATGGAGGTCGGCAAGGACAATTTTTGAAAGTGGGTTCTTTCCTACTGCGGGATCTAGGCCTTAACTCATGGCAGGCTTGCATGGCCAGTGTTTTAACCCACTGAGACATCCTGCCTGACCGGAATGAAAGCTTTTTTTTTTTATTAGAGATTATTTCTCATTTATTAGTAACAGTATTTCAAGTTGGCTTTTTGCAGTTACCTCATCAATTTGTTTCTCTTTGCTCCACTGAAGTTTTGTTTAACAGAAGGAAAGAAGATTTTCCTCTGCCAAAACCGAGCAGGTCCCCACATCCTGTTTACTGGTAGGGGCAGTTCTGTAGCTGCTCAAGCTACCCAAACCAGGCTTACTTTGAATTAGAAGCCTCCGCCTTTGTCCAAGCTCTAATTTTAACTAAAAGTGAAGACTGCTGCACTTTCCCCACACCTGCTGGAGAGAAGAGCTAAGGTAGGCCCTCTCTCTTTTCCTCTTCCAGCTTGCCAACTCTGACGCCTTGGGATGAAGGAAAGGAAGGTTTCTCTTGGGAGAGAAAAGGAAGGTTTTCAGTAACACTGTCCTCTGGCTTTTAGCTCTTGGGGATAGACAGTGTGAGAGAGAGGTACTTTCATAGGATAGATAGAAAGATTACTCCCTGGCGACATAGCCATGGTTCTTGATGCTTGCTTGTCTTGGTGCATGTGTGTGTGACACAGACAGATGTCAACTGAGAAGATATCTCCACCAGGCATTTTCTTGATCAATGACTAATGTGGAAGGGTTCAGCCCATTGTGAGTGGTGCCATCTTTGGGCAGGTGGTCCTGGGGTGTACATAAGGAAGCAGGCTAAGCAAGCGCAAACAGAGCAAGTCAGTGAGCAGCGCTCCTCCATAGTCTCTTTCAGTTCCTGCCTCCAGGTTCCTGCCCTGGCTTGCTCAGTGATGGAATGGAACCCAAACTTTTTGTCCCCATGTTGGTTTTGGTCTTTGTACTTCATTTCAGCAATAGCTAAGGCATTGCAATTTCTCTCCATTCTAGAAGGTAGTTTGTAAATCATTTTACATTCACTTAGGAAGCTGTCTACCTCAGCTTGTAGCTATTAGAAACCACTTGCCTCCTTGGGAGGCTTGGTGAATATGCCACTCGGTTTTCCCTTGCCCCTGCCCTGTCCTGGTCCACAATGAAACACATATCATTTGTGGGCACGAGGCAGCAAATGTCCTGGTTCTTTGCCAACATGGTTTGCCAGCCCGTCTCTCCTCCTCCAGATTTCCTGAGCACGTCAGGTCACAGCTCTCTCTGTGACCCCTCAGCTGTCCTCAAATTGCCTCTCATGTCAGCTCATCGCAGACGCCACTTGAACATTCTTCTCCCACGTGGTCTGAAGTGAAAATGCAGGGTTCCTCAGCTTCTACCCTCCATTGTCCTTGCCCATGCTCTGACCTCTTTAGCTACGTGGACCTGGCTGAGGAGCCCAAGCGCTGTAGAAGTAATCTGTTATTGCCTTTGTCAAAGCCCTGCATTCTGTTGTGAACTCTCATGCCCGTGGGCAGCAGCTCCTATCTGGGATTTCTTGACTAAAACATCAGGTGTTCTCTCCTTCTGGACCCATACATTCCCACATCTTCAGTCAAGCATGAAGCTCTCTATCCCAGTTTGCTTTCTAAAATAAGAGCTAAAAAGGGAATAGAATTTTATTCTACAGATTAATTTCAAGAAAAATGACTAGGAACTGTCTATGTTCTTAAGAGGGGAGACTTTATGACTCGTTCAGGCCCTGCCCTGAAGAAGAGGGCTTGTTTGCTTCCAGGGCACCATGGACCATTGGCCTGAGCACTTCTTCTTTATATTGACCCAAACCCCCCTCTCATGGCTTTGCCTGCTGCTTGATCCTGATGATGCAGAATAGTCTTTGAACGGTACTCTCCCCCTCCTTTCCCTCCTCCTCAATGGCTTGTTGGCTGCCTCCAAGCAGTGTCTCACTCTGTAGCCCAGGCTGGCCCTCTGAGTGAGCCTTCTGTCT